AACAGTTGACCATAATTTGTACAAAATATTTAGTTTTTATCATGCCCAGAATGAAAATGAAGTAGCGAGGGTTTACCATATTGGTAATTTGTAATTCTTTTCAAAGCTTTCTCAAACTCTAATATTATCATACTGTTAGTCATACTGCAGTTCAATTGGTGTAGCTGGCTCATGTATTTTTGGAGATATTGGTGAAAATGTTATTCTATGGATTAAACAGGAGCAGTTTATAATTGTGACAATATCCTTTCCAGATTTCTGTCCCTGAGCGGAAACATGAAATACAAGTGTACTTGGAGGGCACTGAATACTGGATATATACTTATATATCAACTTAGCTTAGGTTTTAATTATAAGTTTTCAATTCATCAAAATCGAGTCATTCCAGAACCAAACATAATGAGATCTTGATGTATGTCACTTTGTTCATTTTGTTTTCTTATTTACTCTTACTACAGTTATCACATTTCAGTTCTGTGTTTCACATTGAGATTGACAAATGAAAGATTTTTTGAAAACATAATACTGTGTGTGTTTTGTTTTTAAAAAGAACTACATGTACTGTTGCTCTATCTTCTGTTCAATACCAATAAATGTTTCGCAAGCACATACACGCTGATCCATTTATACTAATACTGGTATAATATACAAAAATACTTAAACACATCTTAATATGATCAAATAATTTTTCTTATCCTGGATAATTGCTAGAATTTTGTGATATAGAAATAAGAAATTAATATGTCTTTATATTGTGTTTCAGCTGTAGCACATCACTATTTAGAAGACAAACAACAATACACTGAGAGTAAGCAACTATTATTTTATGTATTGCTGTTTGTAGTCATGTAACATATTGTATTTCCTACCGTCTTCTCAGTAATCGTGATGCAATATGTACATTTGATAAAAACAAAACTTGATATGTACCATATATGTTAGCATCGATGTATGGGTGAAGCTTTAAAGTGAGTACCGTAGTATTGATGAAAGCCCTAAGTTTTTTGAGTAAATGGAAATTGAGAGCATTTGCTAGCTGTGCTGGTCCAGACCTGAAATATGTCAACATTTATTGACTAAGTTATTATTGTCTTCACTACAATAAATCTTGTCATTCATTGTTGCATTGAATTCTGTTTTGAGTGCATGCTAAAAACAACTAACCCAGGAAATTTATATGTTCAATGTTTTCTCTAGCCTGGTTATTATCTTTCTATTATTTTGGGGCTCATTCGCCCTCTCCTGGAAACGCTGCCTCCATTATGCTTGTGTGGCCAGTGTATGACCACAACATTATTTGCACGCCGCTAATATGAATATGCTGATGTCCTGATAGATCCATGGTTAACAAGCAAAATATTAGGAAGAAAAACCATGGAAATGCTTGGTAATTTTTGGCTATTGGCAGGAAGATTCTGACTAGAATATCTTGCCAATATTGTAACTGTTCAATTAGTACCCCTGGTATATAACACATTACTTTTGTAAAAAGCTTTCATAAAATATAGGTGACAATACAACTTTAATAATAGTCTTAATGCTCAATCACACCTACTCTGACTCAGTTTTCTAATCAGATTAATCTTTGATATGTCAGGTAGAGATGTTACTTGGATTCCAAAGAATAGAAGACCTGATAAACTGAGAGACACTTTAAAAGAGCTAGAGGTGAGTAAGACATTGTTATTGACATTACAGAACATCTTTGAAGGGAAACAAGTATGGAAGCTAGAATGTGTGATACTGTAAAATGACTAATTTTCACTGGGTTTAAATTTCGCTGATTTACCATTTCAGCCATATTCAGTAGGCTTTAAATTCATGGTTTTAACATTTAGATAATGTGTTCTATG